TTGACCCTCAATGCGGAGCTTCTGTCTCGTTATTGGGGGGATTTCTTCTTCACGTTTAGAGACTGCTGGATGGAACGAAAGCCGCTTTGGGGATATTATTGTTCGACGGTTCCTAGCAGTTCGTATATTGCCGTTCGGGAGTTTGGAGCCGTTCGTGGATTTCGATCGGGAGATTGCCGCTTCCCCTGCATTTGGTTCGTGGGTTTCAGAGTAAGCGAACAGAGACTGTACTGCAGCCGGGGAAGGTTTACTAAACGGCGGTTTGGCTTAAAGACACGGGAGGTGTCTTAACACAACATATACAGCATTATCTAATGAAAAGAGCAATAACGCTTTCTAAAGCAAAACAAAACCATACAATCTCTAGTGGGGTTTACACATAATGAGCATAAAATCCTTTGTTCTTAAAAATGGTCTAAAGTACTAAATGGGGAAACTGCTGTGATGACAACACACCGCTCCCAAAACATGATTTATATGTCACCCCCATGTTTTATCATCAAATGCTCCTCACCTGCCGTTCAATCAATGTGTTCAATTCTGCACCCAAATGGCTAAAGATGTAGATATCTACTGGTACCAGAACCACAGTTGGCCAACCTTCAGCACTCCAGATGTGGTGGATTGCATCTACAACAAGTGGTTAATGAGCCAACTTTAAAATCCGTTTAACCTCCAGCTTCACTGCCTTTCTGGAAGAATTCTCACTTTGAAAGTTTTGAAAGTTTTCGCCACATTTGCAGTGAGCTCTATTGAGACCAGGAAGTGGCGTAAACAACTAGTTTTAAGGGAAAATAGCATATTTCAGGTATCCATTTATGGTACACGCAGGACAAATGGAATTAATACCCGAGCTGATAGAAGCAACCGTCAAATACTTCCAAACATTACATAGATAAAAGGGACACTTTAATAGGGGTGTAAGTGGGGGTGTGGTCAGGGGCAGGGCTGCTCTAAGAAATATTAATTCAATGACAATAACTATTTATATAACTTAAAATGTAATTTAGAACAAGAACAATGTATCTTATTTACAAAGACAGATTTCTTTTTTTTTTTTTTAACAATTCTTTATTTGTTGATTTTATATAAATATCAGTATTTGGGTTAGGGGATACAGAAAAGAAGTGAGGTAGGGTAGGGGTGGGGTATAATAATGCCATCTATTCACAGTTGTACCATCGCAGGGTACGCCTTTATACATTTTAGCACAGCGGTATATGTTAGCAGTTTAACAATGGGTTGTAATTCAGGTTTGAGGTATTATTCCCTTGTCACTCATTTTTCTGTGGCTGTGTAGGCCTACATTTCATCCTTGTGAGGATGCTATGGGGTGGGGTGGGGAGAGGGGGGTCTGTTCGAGTCATGTGTCCAAGTGGGGTTGTAGTGTATTAACCCGTCAAAGTTGCTATTGGTCTCCTATCGAATGCTTTGTCCTAAGTGGAGTGACTCATTCAAAGGTGTATCTTCGGGTTGAGCCTGTGGTTACAGTGGGTTTGGTAGTTTGCTCTTTGGGTGTCGTGGATGGGTCCCTTAGGTGGCCCAGTTAATGTTTCTGATGTCTTACCCGTCTGTCTCCTGTTGCAGGGGGTGCCTAAGGTGGTGCCTCCTGTGGTCTTTCTAATGATCCCCGGCTCTAGTCCCCCTGTTCCGGTCTCGCCAGTTCAGGTAGTGGTTTTGTGTTTGCCTGTGTGTCTCCCTGGTTCGTGGGTTTGCTTTACTCCCTTTTGTTTCGTGGATTGCTTGGGGAGTGGGACTGGGTAGGGTGTCTGGTGTTGGTTTAGGTGGTCTGGGTATGGGGGGTTGAGGTTAGGGTTAGGGTTACAGCCTGTGTACCGCCCGGGTAGATGTCCGAGATTTGTCCTTGTCTGTTTGGGTGGATCGTGCATTCGCGTTCGAATTTGGTGAGTGGGGCCGTGCCCGCTTACTGGATACTCGAGATTGCTGCGAAACTGCGTAATTGAATATATCGAAAGTGATCAAACGTTGTGAAGGAGGATGAGTCTTTAATGTCCATGAATTGAATGATTTTGTTACCCTGATAGAGGTGTCCTATTCTAGAGATGTCTCTGTGTTCAAACTTAGAGACGTGTTTGGGTGTGAGTCCTGGGGGGAACAGTTTGTTCCTACAGATTGGGGTCATCGGGGAGAGGAATGATGAGAGGTCATATTTATCTCTCATTTTATCCCATAGGTCTAGTGCTTGGCTGATTGCGGGTGCGGTTGGCGGGGGTAGGGGTCTGTGTGGTCTGGGTGTCCACATGTATAGGGATGGGTGGTCCCATCCAAATATCAGGTGTTCCAAATCCACCCATCTTTTCTTCCCAGGTGGTACATGCCAGTGCTGTATCTGTGCCA